CCCCTCCTTGGGTTTCTGAGGCAGTATCACTACGGAAGTAGGATTGCCCAACCTTCCTTCCGAGGAGTGGCTGGTGGGTTTGAACCGCCAGCCTTCTCGTTAGCAGTCAAGTGCCTTAGCCACTAAGGTTAATAGACAAGCTCAAACTGTTTGTGCCAAACTTTGATGTTCTAAATATCACTATATCAGTTTCCAGTTCTTGGGTTGGTGGCCATGCCCTCCCAATTTCTACTGAAAAACCTAGAGTCTTTAGGTGCCCTGCCTAAAATCTGGAAGAGAAGATCTGGACCTGGAAGGGAAGGTGCCCATGTCTGGCTGTTAGGTGGTGGAAAAGGAGAACCCCTTTCTTAGTCAGAATCTATTTCTGCTCTTCAAGAGCAGGTAAAGGTAGTTCCCATGTTGTAAAAATCAAACTCCCTAACTTCTGGTCCTAGCTGTTAATGAGCTACAGTGCTTGTACATATAAGATGATGCATGTATCACTCAACACTCATTAAAGCCAGCCTTACCCTGCTACAAGCACAAGCTCTCCACTTTGCCATTTTATCCATATAGAGGATAGAAGCTTCACAGACATTAGGAGAGGACTGAGCCACTTCCAGTTTTTGAGGTTTTCTGTTAAAAAATGTAAAAATATCCAAACAGGGTTTCCAAACTCATCTAGCAGTCTTCTTACAAACATATTCCACATACTTGTCAGGAAAGACATTTGTCCATAAAATGACAAAAAGAAAAAGGCAATCTGCCATTTTCTGAGAAGCTGCATCTTCACTATCATTTAGTACATTCATAGACACGACTTATTCCTAAGTCTTGAGTCTTTTCAGGACTTTGATTACTAGGCCTAGAGTAACCATTGTGTGAATGGTGCATTTGGCTGTTAACCAAAAGGTTGGTGGTTTGAGCCCACTCAGAGGTACGTTGGAAGAAAGGCCTTGTGACCTTCTTCTGAAAAGCAGCCTTGAAAATCCTGTAGAGCACAGTTCTATTCTGACACACATGGGGTTGCCATGAGTTGCAGATGAATCAATGGCAACTGGTTGGTTGTAGATTACTAGAACTTCTTCTTGATTACAACAAAGCGCTTCCTAAACTGACTGCAGGGTTAGCAGATATGATGGACTTAAGCTGTCATTGGATAGCAAATATGATGTGCTCACTGAAATAATATTTCTTAACTGACCAACATAACACACATCTGAAAACTTCACAGGTACATGTGAGAAACCAAAAAACCAAAGTTGTTGCTATCAAGTTGATTCTGACTCATAATGACCCATAGGATTGAGTAGAACTGCCCCATAGTGTTTCCAAAGCTGTAATCTTTACAGAAGCAGATTGCAACATCTTCTCCTGCAGAGTGGCTAATGGGTTGGGACTGCCAACTTTTTGGTTAACAGTTGAGCACTTAAGCACTTAAGCACTGTACTACTAGTGCTCCTTACACTGAAAATGTGTATTTTCTTCCTAAGAAATGTAGCCTGGGTATCTTTGTTCCTCCTACAAAGGGTTACATATGTAATTAGATCCACCACTTGGTACAACAACAGGAGAGAATGAAAGCAGATCCATTTCCCTTTAAAGAGTCTGTATAATTAGCACTTAACCACCACAAAAATAATCTAAGCCCTCAGAAACAAGAAACCTTCAATTTAATAATAATAATAATAAAAACTGAACTGATTTTAATTCATCTAACTCTTGACTTTACCTCTCATCTGTCAATTTGTTGTACTGTGGTGGTTTGCATGTTGCCATGAGGCTGGAGGCTGTGCTACCGGTATTTCAAGTACCAGAAGGGTCACCTATGGTGGATAGGTTTCAGTGAAACTTCCAGATTAAGACTGAGTTGGAAGAAGAAAGGGTCTATCCACTTCTCAAAGAATTGGCCAATGAAAAACCTTATGAATGGCAAAGAAACACTGTCTGATATTTTACTGGAAAACTTTATGAATAGCCCTGAAACACTGTCCAATACAGTGCCAGAAGATGAGCCCCTCAGGTTGGAAGTCACTCAAAATATGACTGTGGAAGAGCTGTCTCCTCAAAGTAGAGCTGACCTTAATGATGTGGATGAAGTAAAGCTTTTAGAAACTCCATTTGCTGATGTGGAATTACTCAAAATGGAAAGAAACAGATGCAAATATCCATTAATAATCAGAATATGGAATATATGAAGTATAGACTTAAGAAAATAGGAAATTGTCAAAATTGAAATGGAATGCATAAAGATGGATATCCTAGGCATAGTGAGCTGAAATGGACCGGTTTTGGCCATTATGAATTAGACAAACATAGGGTCTGCAATGCTGGGAATGACAAAATGAAGAGGAATGATGTAGCATTCATCACAAAGAATGTTTCAAGATCTATCCTAAAGTACAACATTGTCAGTGACAGGATAATATTCATATGTCTACAAGGAAGACCAGTTAATACTACTATTATTCAAGTTTAAACATGAACTGTCAAAGTCAAAGATGAGGAAATTGAAGATTTTTACCAACTTCTTCAGTCTGAAATTGAACAAACATGCAATCAAGGTGTGCTGATTATTATTGGTGATTGGAATGCAAAAGTTGGAAACAAAGAAGAATCAGAAGTAGCTGGAAAATATGCCTTAGTAACAGAAATAAAGCTGGAGACTGCATGATAGAATTTTACAAGAAAGATGACTTATTCATTGCAAATACTTTTTTCAACAAAATAAACAGGAGCTATACATGTGGACTTTGCCAGATGGAATACACAGGTATCAGACTGACTACACCTGTGGAAAGAGGCAATGGAGAAGCTCAATACCTTCAGCCAAAACAAAGCCAAGATCTGGCCACGGATCTGGTCATAAACAAGTTCAAGTCAAAGCTAAAGACAATTAAAATGACTCCACTAGAGACAAAATATGACTTTGATTATATTCCATTTGACTTTGTTGTTGTTGTTGTTAAGGGCCATCGAATCATTTCTGACTCATAGCGACCCCATGCACAGCAGAACGAAACACTGCCCGATCCCGCGCCAGCCCCACAATCCGTGCTATACTTGAGCCCATCATCGCAGCCACCATGTCAATCCATCTCATTGAAGGCCTCCCCCTCTTTCG